AGAGGAGGTAAAGGATGGAGACCAGCAGAAGGAGGATGGGAATAACGACGGAGAGATGGCAGGAAAGAGAAAAAGGACTGCAGAAAGCAGTGAAGGGAAAAGAAAAAAGAAAAAGACACGAGGTATTTATATGTATGTACACGTGTCCCGGACAGAATACTCTGATGTAGTTTGTGCTTCTTGCTTGTTTCAGTTTACTTTAAATCTGCAGGTACTGTAGGTCATTTTACCAGAAAAAAAGAGGCTTCTGGGTTCTTTGGCCGGCCTGTGTCAGAGCTGATAAAATAATTGGGCCAAGATTCAGTGTTAAGGCATGAGGATGTGGTTGCTATCCGTCTGGAGTCTTCATTAACTTTAGTGAGAATGAGAGAAAAAAGGTTTTGAGGTGACCTTTCTTACCAAATAATTTTTGATTGGATTTTACTAATGGAAATCTCAATTTTTTTGAAACTTGCAGGAGCAGCATTGATGCCAGAATTGTCAGAAAGTAATGGAATAACGTGGATGTCCTCTCTGGAAACAAAATTCGAAGATGCAAAAGACAAAAAACCTACTGCAGAAAAACTTGAACGCTTGAGAAGGCAAAAGGTGGGACCACAGAATTCTAATGTAGTAACAGATTACTTGGGTTTTGTGGGTGTTTCATCTGAAAATTGAGGTTCATTTATGGTAATTTTTCTTAGGAGGAGGATGACTGAGTATGGGGAAAATAACCAGAAGATGAATCCACAGATACTTAGTTTTATGCTATCAAAGAAAGAAAGAAAGTTTGTCTTTTGCCTTTTAGATAAACCGCTTCAGAAATCAACACAAGATTAATGTTCAAGGAACAGATCTTCCTGACCCAATTGCCACGTTTGATCAACTTCAAAAGGAATACAAAATCCACCCTAAAATCATGGAGAATATTCAAGCTGCTGGCTTCCGGGTCCCAACACCAATCCAGATGCAGGCTATTCCTGTCATGCTTCATGTAAGTTTTCTGGACTGCATTTTATTACTGGGAGTATGGCAAAATTTGGAGAGCAGCCTCTGTTTAGGGTCATGGCAGTGGTTAGTTGCACAGCTTTAGAGATATATCAACTGTGTCAGAGTTCAAAACTTAGCCATTACGATATTCTTGATCTGTGCTTTTACTAATGTATTTTGGGTTAGTCTGTGGCATTAATATTTATGTGAATGTGATTGGGGGGGGGTGTGTGTCTCTTTTTTTCTAGTAAAATATAACATCCTTCTTGTTTTTCTTACAGGGTCGGGAACTTCTAGCTTCAGCTCCTACTGGGTCTGGAAAAACACTAGCATTTTGTATTCCTCTTTTGACACATCTGAAACAACCTAGGAACAAAGGATTCAGAGCGCTGATCATATCGCCTACCCGAGAACTTGCTAGCCAGGTGTGTGTTGAGGGGAAAGGGGTTGTTGTCATATTGATGTACTTCAAAGTTTTCACTCTGAATCAGTAAAACAGCAGCTTAATAAATATTTTTTTCCTTCATTACCCTCAGATAAGAAAAAGGTAATTTAAATGTGTCTTGTCTTCTGTGAAATAGCTGTGTATCTAGCATCTCAGTCTAATCTAGATGATTAGATAAAAGGCTCAAGATTCTTTGATCATATTTTAAAACTGCCCAATGCTTAGGTGCTCTTATGCTACAAGAGATTTATCTGTTTGTCCCAAACACAGAATTTCAATGAATAACTTTATATTGAAGCTCTGTTATTAAACTGAACTAAAAATTACAACTTTGGGCAGAATTGCATTTTTATTCAAATAGGAGAGGGGGCTTATGGGAGCTACATCGTTAAAGTAAAAATATGGTGGTCAGACCTGTGAGAACTTTCAAGTGAATAATATGAGTTAGACAGCTGCATTTTATTATGCTAAGAAAACTAGACGGCTTTCTCTTAACACTGAAGTCAGGGTGATGTTTGAAACTGTAACTTAGGGATTGCCTGCAGTTTTTCTGGTCAGAAAAGCTAATCAGATTGGTTTGAAAATTTAATCTCTGTTTTCAGACACATCGGGAGTTGGTGAAGTTGGCTGAGGGGACAGGCTTCAGAATACATATGATCCACAAGGCAGCTGAAGCAGCAAAGAAGTTTGGGCCCCAGTCTTCGAAGAAATTTGGTAATTGTTTTAACTACTTGAAGTGCTTCTGAAAATTTAAAAAATGTCACTGACTTTTCTCTTCTGGCCTGTGTTGTTTTAAAGAGATCAGTTAATACCACTCAAGATGTGCAATCTGTTGCTCAACACTAAAAAAGTAGCTGGCGTGGAAGAAACAGGAAGTGAGCCTGACAGTGGACCCTGTTAAATTGTACCTCTGGCAAATTGGATTGGAACTTGTGTTTCTCAGGGCTCTGTTAGTCTGGTTTATTTTGTGTCTTTTTACATGTTTTGCTTTTTCCACCCCCCCATAGATATACTAGTTACTACTCCAAACAGACTCATTTATTTGCTGAAACAAGATCCTCCAGCAATAGACTTGACCAGGTACTGAGATTCTTTATCAAATCTGGCTTTGCTACTAGCTTTGCCACTGAAAAGCAGATGCATGCATCGTCCTTGCATCTGTGATGGTCTGTTAGAACTTTTCCCTTCTCCATGAGTGACTCTTACTGAAAATAAAACCTCTCTGTTCCTAGTGTAGAGTGGCTGGTGGTGGATGAGTCAGACAAACTGTTTGAAGACGGGAAGTCGGGGTTCCGAGACCAACTGGCCTCCATCTTCCTGGCATGCACATCTCACATGGCGAGAAGAGCCTTGTTCAGCGCAACCTTTGCACATGATGTAGAGGAATGGTGTAAACTCAACCTCGACAGTGTTGTTCTGGTGTCTGTTGGCGCAAGGTAGGTGTGCAGTTGTACTCTGACTCTCTGGTGGTGTTTTCCTTTCCTGGGTAAATTACTTGCTTTCTTTGCATCATCAGTCTGCTTGGTTGTGTGTCTCTGTTCTTAGTTTTAGTACTGCAGGTTGTTTGTCTCCAGAAAAAATTGTGTAGGCGTACAGATCTTTCTCACATAGTGGGGAAAGTGTTGTTTTCTTTTACCCATTACTTTATCATCAAATAAACATTAATCTTAGAAGCGTGTACTGGTGAAATAAGTTTGTCGTGCGATATTTCTCATTCACCAGGTAATATTTTTATCGGGTTTTAGTGTTTATAAATATATAAATAAACTCTAATGGTAGCACACTTCTGTTGGATTTATGGTTTCAGAAACTCTGCAGCAGAGACAGTAGAACAAGAGCTATTGTTTGTTGGATCTGAGACAGGAAAACTGACGGCAATGAGAGAGCTTGTTAAAAAGGTATTTTGGGGAGATGGAGTATGTTCTGCTTACTGCTGAACTGACCTGTGTGTTCTGTCAGAGACTTATAATTTCCTAGGTCAAAAACTTCTCTGTGACACATGTTAAACCATTGTCCAAATCTGCTGTACAAGAGGAAGAGTAAGTACCCTATCCATGAAAACTGAGAGGGTTCCCCATTCCTGGTTATATATTTGAGTCTTGCTTAGGAGCAGTTTGTATTAGCAGTCTGTTTAATTTTACTTTGCAGTGTGAGTCGGTTCTTCACATTGGGGGGGAAAAAATATCTGTTCATTTCTGTGGATTAAAATGCAGCTTGATGCTTAAGTTGGGAACCATTCCATCGAAGGCAATGGAGCTGAACTTGCTTAGTTCTGACTCCCAAAGACAAATAATCCTCTGAGATGTATAATACTGGGCCTGGTTAAGTCTCTTTAGTAGCTCAGTGTCTGTAACCAATAATGGTAGGAAAAGGACTTGAACCTTAGACAAACTTATTCTTTTGCAGGGTTTTGCTCCTCCGGTCCTTGTTTTTGTACAGTCTATTGAGAGGGCTAAAGAGCTTTTCCATGAACTTATTTACGAAGGCATCAATGTGGATGTCATCCATGCAGATAAAACTCAGCAACAGGTAGGAGGATATAATTTCTTTTCAAGAAACACTTTAGAAAGAAAGGTAAAAGCAAGAGTGTTGTAATGTAATTTCAGGTAAGTTTGACAGTAAGTTACTGCAGGTTTTCATTTAGAGGTTTAGTTTTATTTGTTAACATCATGACAACTTTCAGGAAACAAGTTCACCTTCTTTCTCAAATTGCTAATTGGGCTGTTGCCAAGTACCTTTCTCTTCTTTTCCTAGAGAGATAACGTAGTACGCAGTTTCAGAGCTGGGAAGATCTGGGTGCTCATCTGCTCAGCCTTACTAGCACGAGGGATTGACTTCAAAGGAGTGAATATGGTCATTAATTATGATTTGCCAACGAGTGCGGTGGAATACATCCACAGGATAGGTGAGTGATTGCTCACAAATTATGTCATTTTTCTCATTTCCTAGATCTTCAATGTAGATGCTTTTGTGCATGAACAAAAATCCTGAAACCAAGCCTCCTCTGTTGTTGCAGCACTAGCTTCTACATCACTTGAGCCAGTTTATATCTGGGCTCAACTTTCAGTAAAACGGTGTTACTTTTTATCAGTCTTCTATGAACCTTAAATATTTAAATGCTTCAGACATACCTGTGCTTTCATTAAATAGAAACAATTTTTTGGGATGGCTGCTTGGTAGTATTCTTAGTATACTAACACACATCAGGAGGCTGGGGCTGGGAAGAGGAATAGAATAAAGGGAGATATTTAAAGTAAAATCTCTACTCTTTGCAAAATTTGTGTTTGACAGGTCGTACTGGAAGAGCAGGGCACACAGGAAAAGCAGTCACTTTCTTTACAGAAGATGATAAACCTTTATTACGGAGGTAAATTGGAAATATGATATAGCAAAAATGTTTTTTGTGTTTTGTATAGCGTACTGCTGAA